ACACCTGACCTTGATGGTGTAGTTTGCCTAGGAGGGTGGCTAACAATAGGCAAGGATTTGGGAACATTTGAGCCCTTGGCTGTTGGGCTCAACTTGGTATTGTAAGAAACTTATTTGTAGCCTCTGTTGGCTACTTTTTATTTGATAACTAGTTGCCTATTTTTGTTGTTTATGTCTCTGGTGGTAACTGTGGGATTTAAAGGCCTATGATGCATAAAACAAACTTGAGGTGGCTACCTTATTCTTGTTTTGATGGTTTTGTTGTTGTGCTTTCTTCTTTATTTGCCTATCCTTCCATTCTATACTTATGCTCAGTTGTACTCCACAGCAACAATATCCTCTTGTGATGGCTGATGGCTGTGAGTGCAACTGTTGTTTATTTGCCTCTTTATTTGGTTCTTACAATTCTTGGTAGCCACCAATGACTAAACAAGGAAAATAACAGTTGAGGCTAATTTTTTTATCAAGTTGCCGATGATGTTCACCATCATTCAAACTGAATGGTCGACTGAGACATGTCATTCAGACCACTTACATATTCTACATTTGGTTGGTTTCAGAGAATGCCTCCCTGCTATGTGGTCTTTGAAGAGAAGAAACCTGGGATTTATTTTACATGGTATGAGTGTGCTAAGCAAGTGCTTAGGGAAGAAGGGGCTATCTATAAGAAGCACAACAACTATGATGATGCTCTTAGAGATTTTAATGCAAGGGTACCTCAAGAACCCTTGTTGTTACCAATTCATGCCTCCTATGGGGATGCATCAGCATCCCATGAACTGGTGACAGGTCAAGGTTCTGAAATCTATCCTCATTCACCTGGGCTGCAAGGCTGTTGCAAAAATGTTGTCGTCTTGATCTTGTTTATGGTTGTAGTTGGTCTGCCACTTAAGCTGTTCATGTGCCACAATTGTTGTTTTAATTAGACCGATGATGACACAATATGATGAATGCATTAGCTGGCTACATGCTTTCTGTTAACTTGTTGCCCTTCTCGGCTTGCCAAACTGTTAAATGTTGTATTTTGGTCAATGATGACACAATGGATCGATGCATTAGCTGGCTACATATCATTTTGCTGCCTTTTATCTGTTTCTGTGAACTCTTTCGTTTGTTGGCTTCAAAACTTGACTGATCCATGCTTCTGTTCTTCTTTACTGACTTTGATTATCCCATGTAGTCAATAATGCCATGAATTGTTAAATTAGCATGTCTGAGGCCAACTATTTCATGCTGAAACTTTGATTTGTTGTTGTAACGGTTATGAAAGAGTAACCTCATTCTCCTTTCATTCATGTCCATTTCTATTTGTTGTTATGGGCCTGACCGACCACAGCCAAATGACAAACACTATCTCGGTGTGGTAGTTGGTGGCGGTTAGCCTTTCAGCCCGGCTGCCTCTTCGATAACAAACACAGCCTCGCCTGAACCGGGCTCACTGGAGTACACATGCACAAACAAGAGCTGTTGCACCATTTGAGGCAGGCCTACCCAGGCCTGGGCCAGTTGGGCTGGCCAGGCCGGTCAGGTACAGGGTCGCAAACACGCCCTTGGTATCGCCCTCGAGCTCGGACATGTTTTAATTTCCCGTTGCAGGGTCGGAGTCCGACTTGAGAACGACGCGGTTTTGGTTCCCGCCGTTTTATAAATGCCCCCTGTTCCCTAGCGCCCACCCCGATCCTTTCGCGTTTCTCCTCTCTGCCGCCACACCACGCCACGCACGCTGAAAATCCCTAGCGAGCCGCCGCCGGCAGGAGCAATAGAGCCACCGTCCATGGCCACGGAGCAGGGTCTTCCTCCTGGCTACCGTTTCGTGCCCACTGACGAGGAGGTGGTCGAGCTTTGCCTGCTCCCTCGCATCCAGGACCAGCCCCTCCTGCCGAACGACATCATCGAGGACGATCCGCTGAGCGCGCCGCCGTGGGCTCTCCTCGAGAAGCACGGGAGGAGGCACCAGGCCTTCTTCTTCGCGGCGTGTCAGGCCATGAACGCCAAGGGCAACCGCCAGAAGCGCTCCTGCGTGGGACACGGGACCTGGCAAGGGCAGGGCAAGAGGAAGCGCCAACAGGAAGAAGAAGGGCAGGAGGTCAAGAAGAAGCTGCGCGTGCGCGTGCGCGGCAGCGCCGAGAAGATTGAGATCGAGTGGGACAAGTACGCACTCAACTTCCAGGAGCACGGTGTCAAGGGCAGCACTGGCTGGGTCATGCACGAGTACTCCATCACCGCCCCGACCGAGCTAGCGCGGTCGCCGGTGAGGGTGTACTGCATCCGCTTCAGCGGCCACGGCAAGAACGCCAAGAAGAACAGAAGGGATGCGCAGCATAGGGGCGACGACGACGAGTTCGAGGACGAGGAGGAAGTGGACGACGACGCAGCAGGAGCAATCGCCACCACTACCAGGAGTGCCGCGGAGGAAGACGCTGCCCTGCTCATCGAAGACTACCTCACTTCTTTCCCTGTGGTGGCGGTGGATGTTGTCAGCGCCAATCCTGCTGATGGGGCGGACGCAGGAGCAGGCTATGATCAGGACTTGCCCGGGTTGGTGGATGATGACAGTTTCGACTTCATGAACTCTTTGCCTGACCTGTTGCCTAGTGTCGACTTCTCCCAATGAGCTGATGGTGCCGGACGACGCATGATCAAACACGCCGTAGATTGATTTAGCTCCTTAACTTGTTGTGGCTCTGAGATAGCGAATTGTTGTATCTGTTGAATTTGTGCGTTGGTGGATTCTTCAATTCCTAGGTGGGAACTACTTTTTTATGAAACCGAGTTTCTACTGCCTTGTTAGTACTAGTTTAACCTTCTTGACTTGTCTTAACGACGAAATGATGTCTTATTTGTGATCATTGGTGAGTGTGGACGATTCAAAATCTGCTCATGTCTCTGCTATTGTTTTGTTTTACTATTTTCAGTTCTACTTGTATACGATGAATGATACTGAAAGAACCATGATATATGTTGCAGAAGGTAAGAATTACTATGAAGTTGTAAACTCCTCGGTTGCATTACTAAGCAACTCCAACAAGTTAATTATTAATCGCTAAGTCTCCTGTGTTTAAGCATAACGGATTATCGAGCTTCAGCCTTGTCACTCCCAACTCCAACAGTTCACTAATCATCCAAAAGTGCAGACCATTGCAAAGTAAAACTAGCTTGATGACTGAGCACGCACACAACTAACCCAAAGAGGCCAGGCTTCTTCCAGACCAGGCCTGAACCAAGTAAAAATGATCTATCAATCTAGTCCGGGCAGCGACACCTGGCCCAAGGGACCACGCTTTTCCCGGGCCAGGCCGTATTCATATATGCCTGCAAGTGAATCGAATCACACATTCACAGGCAGACATTCAACACAGAAAGCAGCCAAGCATGTCGCACATGATTTGCTTTGAAAAATGCCTAAAATAGATGTTCCAGCAAAACTACAGTTGACAATAACAAAATAAGTTGCTTTGCAATTAATCCATTTACACAAGAGAAGCTTTGCCAAAAAGCTTCGGGGATTTAGAGTTCAAAATGACCAAAGTAGCGTGCCTGTTTTCTCTTTATAAATCTTGATATGGTAGAGACGTCGCCTTGAATGATTATCTGGCCATCTTCCATATAGATGGCACCATCTGCGTATTTCAGCTCTTCCAACCGATGAGTCACCCATAACGCGGCAACCTCCCCATCAGCAGCCACAGAGTTCCTCACTGCCTTTATCACGCCTATCTACAGTTGCAGCAAACGGAGATTAGAGTGCAGAACTGTCACTAACGTATATCACAAATTCACAACCAGTAAAATGACTTAGAAACACAAAAGTTTTACCAGAGCATTTGCCATAAAACATTACAGTGCAAGTTAGACAAAACTAATATAAGGCACGATGATAAGCTCCAACGAATGGGAAAGAAATTAACGGAATCATAAAAACCAGAATATGAAGGAGATCTGTACCTGGTCATGTTCATCTAAGAATGTGGTCAGTTCATCCAGCAGTAATACTTTGGATGCTTCAGCTAACGCACCAGCAATTGCAACTCTCTGTTTCTGCCCACCACTCAGAGTTTGGATTGGCCTCTGTTTGAATGAAGGTTTATGAACATTGTGAAGACATTATATTATGATCCAAAAGCTGGATTTTAGATGCCTACCTGAGAGTAGCTCAACATCCCAACGGCATCCAATGATTTTGATACCCTTAACCTGACCTCATCTAATGGAAGTTTGAGCTTACCAAGACCAAATGCTACATCAGATTCCACTGTAGGCATCACAACCTGCATCCAAAAGGACAGAACTGAGAAAACTGTTCTTCCATATAAAGACTTGGACACATGGATAATCTGGGGCTGCAGTTCTTGGCTTGACCGCCAGGTGGAAGCTTTCATACATGCTAGAACATGTTTGATTCCAATGTGCGTGTTTGAGTTTTCAACATAAATGTATGGTTTGTCAAAAAAAAAAAGGAAGATAACAAAGTTCATGGTTTACTAGACGGTAAGTTAGATTTGATTCAACTGTGATGTCCCCAACAAAGAAGACTACTAAGGAACACAGAACTAGATGCACAAGTGATGGCACCTTTTCTCTAGCATGGTACAAGAATATTATAATCAGATTGCGTGACTCACCTGAAAACTAAGCTCCGAGTGAATTCAAGTGGATATTGTGTGAATTTGGAGCTCCAGCAGGATACGCATGGAAAAGCTTTTGTGACAAATTGTCCGAGTCTATGACATAGTTCATATATTGAGCCACATGATTAAATGTACAATTGCAAGCATAAATTTATATCGTTTAACCAAAGACATTATTTACTTATCCAATACAAAGTAAAATAGCCAATAGCTGCTCAGAGTTTAATGCATAAGCTGATACAGGTCACAGTGAAACTGAATTCAATAGATGCTATGTGAGTTAATTGTGTTGGCATACTACAGATTCCACTTAAAATCTATTGGGAGACCTGACAGCAGACCAGTTAGAAAACTATTAAAGAGAAGTTTTACCACCTGGTGATCAGGATTTTGGAAGACATAGCTGCATGGTCTGTTTATATACACTGTACCAGCCGATGGATTCAGAAAACCTGCTAAAACCTAGAAAAACATGGTGTTGGTATTTATTTGAAGTGACAGTGACAATAAATGAATAAATAAATTCCCAAAGTTCTGTTACCGAGTAATCAGAAATGAGCACAATGCATGTAGCTAACAACTTTACAAGGGCAAGTAGATAAAACCAACTCACGCTTGTTTCTTCCACATGAATATAACAGTCACTACATTATTATTTATAATTAAGTAACAGAAACTATATTCTGGCCCAAAAAACAATGGGTGCAAACTAACTCTGCCTACTGCCATTTGTTGCTCCAGTGCTCAACCCCTTTTCTTGCTTTGTGATGATGCACCAACACCACAAAAGAGATACAGAATTGACATTCATGACATCTGTACAAAGGTTTATTAGATTTTCTTATTGGTTTTTAATGTGGACTTTCTATTGATCCCTGATAGAAACTGAAATTTTTGTCGAGCAATATGTAGTTGCATCAGTACACTAAATGACACGCACATTCACAAGTCACCAAAACTTTTCCTGAGAATTTTGGGTCCCCCGAAAGTACAAATGCTTGCTTGAACATTTTCATGAAGTTCAACTACCCCTTCTCCCCAAAAAATCTGTGTTCGCGATTCACGAGGTTGAGGGGCTGGATCTTGATTCTATCCAGATTGTATCCTATTTTCATTTCCAATCGAAAAATGAACCAAACACTGCCGGACATAATTGACAGTATCTAACTCATCTACCAAGTAAATTGGGCACTACACGCAGCAGGAAACTATTTTCTTCGTTTCAAATTGGAGGCAACAGAGGCATTCCACGTTTTACTGTTGAATGCAGATAACCAACCGCTTAAGGGCTAAGGCAAGCACCAGTCTGAGGAATTCAGTTCGGATTTCAATTCTCAGGTCTGCACGAATAAAGTGGGAGCGAAAAACACGAAATGCTGCCTCCTAGTTCAGAGGAGGAACCTTCAGCAGGGTGGACTTGCCGCAGCCGTTGGGGCCGAGGAGCATCCAGAGTTGCCCGGGCGGGACAAGGAGGGAGCATCCCTTAAGCACCGGCAACACCCTGCCCCGCCGCGTGGTCACCGAGAGCCCGACGTCGCGGCCCTCGATGGCGGGCGCGGCTGGAGGAGGGAAGGTCGAGGCGCACATCGCTAAGCTTCGACGAGGGGGAGCGTCCAGGGTGTGATGAACGGTGGTGGAGGAGGAGGACACGGAGGGACAGCACCGGAGGGGGGCGACGCCGCCGGCGAGGCCGTGCGACATCTCGGCGAGCTAAGAAGTAAGAAGAGAGGCAGGACCGCAGGAGTGCAGGACTGAGGAGTTTCTGGGCCGGTGCTCTACATGGATAGGTGTCGGCCATGCTTATAACAAAATGGGCCCGATCTGTCATGGCTTTCGTGCACGGATGGGCCGGGCCAATGATGGCTTTCCTAATTAGTACTAGAAAGACAACAAGTTCCTAAGTGGTGATGTATCACTTGCATCAGTTGTCCTCAACAAATAAGTTGCATGTACTTCACTTGTACATGTACTCCACGGTGGTAGCCCGTAGTAGTACTTCACGTCAATTTGTCATCGTAATCATAACAATAATACTCTATAAGTATTGCCTTCTACAGTAGCTCTATGATACTATACTTCTAAATTTATGATATCAACTAAGTCTAAAGTATTATACTGTAGTGTTTTTTAAGCATGTCTGATCACCAGTGGCGCCTCCTGCCGTGTCACCCGTGCCCACCCGGCTACTTCAGTCCATGATCCCCTAATTGGAATCCGTGGAAAGGCGCTGGAGCTTTGCCACCGCCGTCAGCCCTACTCACTGGCTATCCTCTGCCGCCTACTCACCAGTGCGTCCATCATCTCACTCGCTTCCCATCGAACCACCACCATCACTTGGTGGACCGCTATCGTCAGGCCCCCTTATAAGAATCGAGATGTCTTCTAAAAGGAGTGAACATCAGTTCCTGGAAAAAAATAGAGCTTCTAAAACTATTACAAGACTGGAGATCTGGTTTGGTCCTTAAATGTGGCACCAGATCTGCTCTAGATCGGAGGTCCTGTACTGGGTGATGGGAAGAACACAAGTCGGAGAGGGATTTCACCTATTTTAATCAATTATTATACTTGTTACCAAGTGTTGTGGATACGTACGCCCCTCACCATCCCCTATGTCGCACAATCTTCGTCCTCTACTAATCGAGTAGTCAACCGTGTGTGGGCAATGCACGTGCGTCAATTAATGTTTTTGTACCGCAGACAATGTACTAGTCACAAGAAAGAATGATCGTCAGTTTCATGTTTTGCGAGGAAAGGAATTGATTGTCAGTTTTAAATCGGCGGCTGGGGTTTCACCACGACTAGGTAGACAGGTATAAAATAAGATAAGACAAAGAAGAGATATAGATAGGATAGAGAGGATATAGAGATAGAGATAGAAATAAAGATAGAGAGGAGTTCATTGAAGGCTGCCTTATAACAGGAGCGACAAAAAAGAAGAAAAGGAGATGGGAGATGACAAACGATAATAGGTTTAAGCCAATGAATGGTTGATTAGAGTTTGCGTGGGAAATGGCAACTGATCTTAACCATTCTAGCCCACTAGTATACACTTTGAAGATGCAAGAAAAGAAAGTTTACTGGTGCCCTCTTCCTGATGGGGTAATTAAGGTGAATTTTGATGCAGCTTTTAAAACTGAAACTTATGGAGGTGCCTCAGGAATAGTTTTACTAATGCCCAAGGTCAATTTGTAGCAGCCAAATGTAAACAACATGGGTCGATACCTGATGCTCTTACTGCTGAAGCTTATGCTTATCTTGATGCGACACTAATGATAAAGGATCTTGGACTGTCAAAGGTGATTGTCGAAACGAATTGCCAAGAATTAGTGGCGCTATGGAATTCTAAGACTAGTAATAGGTGTGCTATTATTCCAGTGCTAAATCAAATCCACGAACTTAGTCGACAATGCACATATTTTGTTTTGGTTCATGTAAGGAGGGAAGCAAACATGGCTACGCATTATACAGCCAAGTTTGCTTTACTTTCAAATTCTGAATGTACGTGGTTGCATGATGTACCCAACTTTTTATCTCAATTTTTTCAGCAGGACTTTCCTGTTGAGAACTGAAGTAATATAAATAAAGTTTTCTTTGTTCTAAAAAAGATTCTTAGTTGGGCAAACATGTTTGGCAGCCGGACACATTTTGGGCCTTGCTCGCTCTAAATAAACTATTGGGCCTTCTTTACTCTCACACCGACAAGCCAACCCAGTTAAGTCAGTTCTGGTGCACATAAGAGGCACGCCAGGCGTTCTTCAAAACTATGGTAAACTTGAAATCCCCTTTCTTCTCGTACGTACGGCTCACGAATTTGGTGGGCTTGAGACAACTTCGTTTGGTTCCTTGTGTTGATCTACGCTAGCCAGAGGAGGCGAGGAGCCAGATCAACCAGTGGATCACGAGCACGATGGCCGACCGGATCAAGGACCTTCTTCAGTTCTTCCCACGGGCTGCCTCCACTGTGGGACGCCGGCGGTGCTCGCCAACGCACTCTACTTCAAGGGCGTGTGGGAGCGCAAGTTCAAAGCATGCCTAATGCGGGAGGAAGCCTTTTTCCTGCACGATGGTTGCGTCGTCCACGTGCCGTTCATGTCGAGCACCAGCAAGCAGTGCATCGCCTGCCGACCCGGCTACAAGGTCGTGAGGCTTCGCTATGCGCAACAAGGCCGCGGTGAGCACCGGGTGTTCTCGATGTACATCTACCTTCCGGACGCGCACGACGGCCTGCCGACGCTGCTGCACAAGCTGAGCGCTGCTCAAGAGCTCCAGAACTCTGACGGACGAGGTCCCCGTGTGCGCGTTCAGGGTTCCCAGGTTCACCGTCGCGGACAAGACGAACACGAGGGAGATGCTGTTGGAACTCGATCTTCTCCTACCTTTCGATCGCGACGCCGCCAACTTCGGCGACATAGTGGAGGCGCTCGTCGTGTCCGATGTCTACCATGAGTCCTTCGTGGAGGTGAACGAGGAAGGGACCGAGGCAGCCTCCGCGACCACTATCGCTATGCGCTTCGGGTGCGCGCGATTGTAGGCGCCGGTGGACTTCATCGCCGACCACCCGTTCGTGTTCTTGATCAAGGAGGAACTCAACGGCGTGGTGGTTTTTGCTGGACAAGTGATAGACCCGTTGATTCCTTAGTAATTTTAGATGAGTGATGCTTCTTTGAGTGAATATAATATGGTGATTTTACTTTAAAAAATATATAATATGGTGATAATGATATGAAAGTGGTTAGTACTTATATGCTATATAAAGGCTAGGACATTTGCCAGATAATCCACTAAACTTAGCGAGAGCTAAATTGAACCATCATGCAAGTGAGAGTGTGCAAGATAGTGTGCCAAATGTCATCGTCCTTATGTATCCCTTTCATCAGGTTCCATCATCCATGCCTCTCAACAACAGGAAATCAAAAACCCAATCTCACCATTGCCCAACTTGTTAATGGTGTAGGTGGCAGCAAATCGAAGGTGAAGGATAGTGTGCACGCCAAGCCGGTATACGTCTTCTCAACTCCTGATTTTTACTTCTGGGCGTTGGATTTAGCATTTTTCATTTATGTATATTTTGAGTTCAAAATCAACTCGATTTGCTTAAAAATGTGGCATGACTGTTAGTCTTCCCTTTCCTAAAATGGTTCGAATGAAATGGATACATGTAACTCTCCGGTGAGGAAGAAGAGCAATAGTGTCTGATTCCTTGGTTCTTAGAACAGAGCTCTCCGGCTCATTTTGTTGATTCATCCAAGAGTACATGTTTTGTTGTTGAACCTATTGAAAATTTCTCGCCCATTCCTTGGTTCCAAACTGGCAATGACGTCAGGAAAATTGACGAACAAGGGTCCTATGAAATTCATATGTAAAAAACTCTGTTCCAAATGCAAGAAGAGGCAGTCGAATAAATCATCCTGATCTCTACTAGTAGTAGTGTCATGCCAACCGCCATCGCCAACAGGAGGGTATCTGTCGGTGCAGAAAGTGACCAACACGTAAATATTTATAGTTTTGTCGTACGTTGTGATCGGAGGTGGCCTAGCACTCAATGACACAGGGTTTATACTGGTTCAGGCAACGTGCCCTACGTCCAGTTTGAGTCGGTCGATGACTTTATTCCTGAGCCCAGGTGCTCATAGTTTGCAGTGGGGTTACAAACGAGAAGGAGAAAGATGGGGGTTACAAGAGGTCCAGTCGGATCCCGGTCGGAAGGGCCGAGAGTGATGGGAGCCCTACTATGAGCTCAGTGTTCAAGCATGTGCTTGTGGTTTGAACCTGGCGGTTCTGTTGTTGTGTGCTAGTGAACTTGATCGATCTAGTGAATCTGAGTGAGTCTGATTGAATCCGAGTGAGTCTGAATGAATTAACTACTTGTTGGAAGAGAGCGCATCCCCTTTTATAGGTGAAGGGGATGGCCTTACAAGTGAGAGGGAGAGAGTACGTATGCTACTAAGCCTTGTTGCCCACGCCGGTGGGTACAGGATGATGGTAGGCGCCCATAATACTGTTGAATGTCATATGCACGTAGAAGGTTGTGTTGTTTTCTTCGGGTATGGTAGACGTCGGCGCCTGCCACACTGTTGATACCTAGAGGCATGCAAGGTGTTTTACCATGTTCTCCTGGTACGGTAAATGCCGATGCCCACAACACTGTTGATGCCTAGAGGCATGTGAGGGGAAGCCTTACCGTATGGGAGTTAATGACGCCCACAATACTGTAGGGAAAAAATGTCGGCGCCTACAATACTGCTTGGGCTCTGTTGTGCCAGGGAGGTTGCAAAGTACTATTTCTACAGGTGTACAGGGTACGGTCCCCGATATTGCGGTTTGACTTGTGCGCCCCGCCTTACTTTCTTCGTCAGTTTCCTGGTCCTTACCGAGCGGGCGTCCCCGGTCGGTTGGTTCTAATCGGCTCTGATCGCGCCAGTCGGAGAAGAGTAGTGAGCAGGGGTTTGGCGTATCCCTAGTCGGAGATGGGTCAGAGTCGGAAGCGGCATTTGGCTAGGCCTTCCGGTCGGAAAGGCCGTCCAGAGGTGGGCTAGAGACCGAAGCGAGCGCTCCGGTCGGAGAGGCGGGCCGAAGCCGGAAGCGGGCGTCGTTCCTCCTCGGCCAGGCCTTCCGGTCGGTGATTGGATCGCCCTTCTGGCCTATCGTTTAGGTACTTGGGCCGGCCCATGAGTTGCACATTTGTTTGCAACGTTGCCTGC